AATGACCAACTATGCACGTTTACAGAAGGATTGCGCTTTCTAAAATCAAAAATTTGAAGTTGTTCTTATTTTGAACGTTTGACAAGTAAATTGTTGGCTTATGGAGTGAATTTTAGTCTCGAAGGGGCTTCATTGCCATAGTGAAGAGATTTGCTCTAATTCATGGTGAGGTCTGGACTACTGCGAATCTTATTTGAACCATCTCAACAGAAGGGTACTGAACCGATGCTGCGTGCGCGAAGATCTCTGATGGGGTCACGCGTGAATCGCCCTCCCCCCCTTCCTCCAATAACATTTTCACCCAAATGTAGGTCTTCATCTTAGACAAACTCTCTTCTCAGCGGCATGTGAATGAGTGGTATCAGAACATCTGTCTGGCATAATTTTTCATTACATATTTACATTCAGTCATGCGCTTGCATTTTCCTATAAGCGCTTGAAGGTGTTTGCAATATGATGGCTGAAGTTCAGAAGTGGCTCAATCTTTGAGCTTGGGAGCATTTGTTTGACACTGGAAAAGAGTCAGACCATGGAGCACAGCATCTTGAACCTTTGAGTTGGTCTGTTAGTTCCAATACCTATAACGGTGGCTGGTAAAAACCTGTATCTATCCCCAAACCACTGGCCGAGAACTTGCAGTCTGTAATACTCTGGAAAAAAAGATTGGATGATATGCCATGATTACGAGGTGCCCATAGACCTGGATTATCAGCTGCGGCTCCCGTCATCGGACCAAGTGCAGAACTAGCGAAGCAATTACCAGCCGACCGATTGAATTTGAAAACGCAGCCTCGAAACAATGCGGACAAATTCAATCAAAGAAGTCCATTAAGAAAAAGCTTTAAATCGAAATCTCCAGGGAATTTAGTGCCGACACCTACTGGACGCACACTTGCATCCTCCGTTGTTTCCTGGAAGTTCGTCTGTTTGAAGTTAGTTTGAAAGCCTGCAATTGCGCATCACATGATAGCTCCAAATGAGTCTCGATGATGAGATGAGCGTTTTCTCGGAAAATTCAGCTGAGCGATTCACGAAAAGCACCGTGCAGATGAAAACTTCCTGTTATGATGGACAGCGATTGCTCTTGTTTGGGTTTTCAGAAGGCGTATTCGTGAAGTGCTGCTGTAGTCCGTGAACCCAGGCCGACGTAAGTAGCCTTATGGTTGGTAGAATGTTAACATGAAGGATAAGAAAGTTTGTAGTGAGTGGCAGAACAAGCATCCTGTGGTTGTCCATCGTTGAAGGACCGACGACGTTTGCAGCCAGGTACGGTATGCGGGCTTAGTCTGAAATTGCCTCTGTAGCCTAGACGTTTAAACGAACCTTCCAACTTGATAACTTCCCTCAATGAAGAGGCTGGGTATCGTTCCTTCCCTACAGTCTTGAAGTATGTCTAGGTAGTACTTCCCAGAAATCTTCCCCAGGCCTGCTCTATTCCCCTTCCAGTTCATACCGGTCCAGTTAAGAAGAAACTTCGGTGAAAATGTAGTTGGGGGGTGCCAGGCACTCTTGTGCTCTGCGTC